GTAATAAAAACCCAAAACCCCTCAAACTTTCAGGAATCAGCTGGGCTGATTCCTCCCTAAACCCCACGGGGCTCCAAGGCACATGGCCAGGCTGGACACAGCTCCCCAAAGTCCCTGCAAACTGCACCTTTAAGGCAGAAACTCCATGCTCAGCCCAGCAGGTTAAAAATAACTTAAAGGCACACATCCCATGGGAAAGAGCCCAGGGCTGGGAGGGGAGGAACTCACACTCCTGGGTCACCCCCAGTGCCCCTGCAGCCATCGGAATCTGCTGGTCACAGCAGAGCTGGCTTAACCCCTCCGTGTCCCATGGGAGGGAGCAGCTTCTGCAGCAAACTCTGGGCAGATGCCAGGACTGCTGGAAGGGGATGGGGCTGCTGGCCAGGATCAGTCGGCGCTGCCCCAGCCCAGCTCTTCCCGGCAGTCCCCGGCTCCGTGAGGAGGCAGGAGAGGAGCAGCTTCCCACGGCCGCGCTCCTGGCTCCGTGCTGGCCGAGGCTCTGGGGTCTGGCTGAACTGCAGCTCCCAGTGGCCAGCAGCCTCCAGCCACGGCCTCGGGGACAGCCTGTTCCACGGCGTGGCTCCGGGGCTTTCTCCCTTTCCCACGGCAAGGCACACGGGACACGGCGTCCCGGGGAACTCGGTGCAGTTTCCTTCCTTGCAGGGTCTGTAGGGAAAAGCGGCGAGAGCGGAGGCTGCGCTCCACGGCCGCGCTCCCGAGCATCCCATCCCAGGGCGGGCAGGTCTCCGGAGCCTCCAGAGGGGAATGTGTAGAGCTCAGAACCAGGCAGGAGGCAGCTGCCTGCCCGCAGCCAGCACCTTTGCAGGCACAAGGGACCGAGGGATGTCCCCCTGCCAGCCGGGCCAGCCCGGCACTACACGTATTGCTTTTTGGAGGCTGAGCTCCCAGGCCGACTGCCCGGCTTCTCCTCCGGGGCGGAGGCTTCAGCAGGCCCGGGGGCGTAGGGGTCCGACAGGGGCCTGCTGCCGCTGCCCAGTGCCAGGTTCTCCTCGTTGCGGTAGTTGGCCCAGTTCTGCTCACTGGAGAGCTTGTTGTAGGTCTGGTAGGAGGGCACGTGGCTCTCGGCCATGGGCAGGAAGGGATAGTGCTTGGGTGAGTAGGGACTCGAGACCATGGCATCCACAAAGGTGTCCTGGCTCGGTCCAGCTGGCCCCGACACCTTCTTGATGTTGCTGAGCAGGTTCTTGCAGCAGAGGTGGAAGAGCTCCAGGAGGTTCAGGATTAAGGAGATCAGGCCCATCACCAGCATGAAGATGATGAAGATGCTCTTTTCAGTGGGGCGGGAGATGAAGCAATCCACCTGATGGGGGCACGGGTCCCTCTTGCACACGTAGCGGGGCACCATGGAGAAGCCATACAGGTACCACTGGCCCACGAGGAAACCGGCCTCAAAGATGCTCTTGCAGATGACACTGGTGATGTACGTCCACATCAGCGCCCCCCGGATCTTCAGCCGCCCACTCTCTGTCATGTAGATCTTGGACATCTTCTTCTCCAGGTCTGCCAGAGCCTCCTCAATCTTCGGGTCCTTGCTGTGGACAGCCCGAAGCTTGCTCTCCTTCTCCTTCAGCTTCTCCTCCTTGCGGGAGAGATAGACAACGTGGCCCAGGTAAATCAGGGTCGGGGTGCTGACAAAGAGGAACTGGAGCACCCAGTAGCGGATGTGGGAGATGGGGAAGGCTTTGTCATAGCAGACGTTGGTGCAGCCTGGCTGCTTGGTGTTACACACGAAATCCGACTGCTCGTCCCCCCACACAGACTCGCCAGCCAGGCCCAGGATGAGGATGCGGAAGATGAAGAGCACGGTGAGCCAGATCTTCCCGATCACCGTCGAATGCTCCTGGACTTGGTCCAGCAGTTTCTGCAGGAATTCCCAGTCACCCATCTTCTAGGAAGCCTTTGCCTCTGCCAGCAGAGAGAAGACACGTCAGTTCCCTGTTTCCATGCTGGGGAGCACAGGGCAGATGTGACCACTTAAACTCCGTGCTTTTTCAGGATATAGCTGCTCTGCAGACTGGCCCAGCAAACCCTCTGAGGAACATCCCACTTCTGAGGGAGGGAGGGTTCCAGGCAGGGTTTAGGAGCCCCAGAGGGCTCCTCCTACACAGTGCAGGAACCGAGGGCTGGGAGAGACAGGGATTCTCCCCTCCCAGCAGCACCCACAGCTCGTGGCTCTCCTGGCCACTCCAAGGACAGCCTGAAGCCAGTGGGGTTTTGGGAGCTCAGGGCGAGGAGGCACTATGGGAGCTCACAAATTTGCTGCTGCCCTGGCTTTCCCAAAAAGCAGAGAGCAGGATGGTCTAGAGGGAAAGCACAACCCCTTGGGGTACAGCTGCCACCCCAAAGCCGATTCAGGGCTCACCCCAAACTGAACGGACAACACCTCACCAGCTCCCTTGCTGCGGGGCGTTGGACACCCAGCCCCAGTCCCTCCCATCGCCAGGAGATCCCGAGCACCGCTCACCACCCTGCTGCCTCTCCCGGGATCCTGGGGAGCCGAGCCCGCACCCCGCGGGCGCTCAGCCCGGCTGCGAGGAGGGACAGGGCAGCCACAGCCCCGGCTCCTCATTAACCGCTGCTAATTAAGCAGAGAAGTGCCGGCTGTGCGGTTAAAGGAACCCCCGGCAGCGGGGTGCCCCGTCCCCAGCCCGGTGCCCGCTCTCACCTCCGCCGCGCCGGGCACGTCCCGCCGGGCTCGGGCCGCGCTGAGTGCGAGGGGTCGGACCGGGTGGCTCCGGTTATTGGGGGCCCGGGGAAGCCGGAGGAGGAGCGTGGGCAGGAAACTGGGGGCCGGGGCTTAGTACCGGCCGGGCTGAGCCGCAGGTGTGCGGGGCCGCCCCCTCCCGTGGCCCCCGGACGAGGGGGCGGCCCCGGCGGGCGGAGCGGGGGCGGCCAGACCCGTCGGGGCCGAAGCTGGGGGGCAACGGTGTGGAGCCCGGCTGCCTCCCGCACTTTCATCTGCGGACCCGCAACTGGGCAAACCCGCTGAGCCAGAGACCCCGGCATGCTCCGTCCCCTGACCCGTGTCCGGGAGATGTTTAATTCCCTGCCCGGCGGGGCGTTTCGGGGACGCTCTGTTCCCCGCCCGGTGTCCCGGGGATGTTCCGTCCTTTTCCGCCCCGGCCGGACCGCGGCTGCGGCGCTCGTGGTTTGCCCCCGAGGGTCCGTGCGGCGCGGCGGGCGCTGGGTGGTGCTGGAGCCCCACCGGAGCCGGCTGCGGTCCCGCATCCCTCCGGTTCTGGATGAGC